ATGAGACTATTGAATAGACTTTTTTAAATCCTACAACTTTTATTTGTAACACTTTTCTGTAAAACTTATATTTTTTGAGATTTTTCAGGGTTTCCATATTTTTTCCTCACCCTGTATACATATTATATGAGTAACTTACGTGTGAATATAAAATTAAATTTACCTAATAATATTTGTTAGTGTTATTTAAAGTAATCTCATTTTAAGAAAAATTAGGACATTCTGATCTCAAAAATAATTTTTTTAAAAATTAACTTTTTTTTAAACTTAAGTTAATTCAATCTTAACTTAACTTTTATTAAGTTAATTCTTTATTTCTTCAACTTTCAACTTAATTTTATTAATTTTATAAGCCATTAACTTGTAACTTAATTTAGTGTTAAAAAAAAACATTAACTTACCCAATCCTGAAAAACACCCTGCGCGTGGCTGAATGCTCCTTGTATTCTATGTTTGTTATGTTTAGATTAGATAGTCACAAACGTGTTTTCGATAGTCAAAAGTAATTTTTCGAACGTTCAGACAATATCTTTCCTGGTTGTTATTTTTAAAATTCAAAATTGTTCAGATAAGTAAATCTATGTAAAAATGTATTCTGAACACATTCCTTGTGTTATTTCTTTCATTTCAGAATTTTGTTTAAATTTTATTTATGTCGAAAGTTACAATATACGTTCTAAGAGAGCACCAAGTCATCGGGTCTAAACACCTAATCTCGATTTTTTATTCACAATATTTTTATCATATTTTCGTGTTAATTACAGCATGGTTCGCAATTACAATCATAAAACTGATCCCATCGATAGAGATAGGATGTCTAGAGCTGTGCTAGCCGTCAAAAAGGATAATATGAAAATTGCATCGGCGACGAAAAAATTTGAAAAAAATTTGTCCAATATGGAATCAGAAGATTCAAATTAAATATTCGAAATAAAATTTAATACAGTTTTTGATATTTTGACCATAATGACATGTTTTTATTTTATATTGCATCGAAAAAATATGGTGCCCATTTTTTTTTCCGAGGGGAAAAGCCCCGAGGGGTGCGCACGTAGCCCCTGGCATTCTTCAAATTTCATTTCCCGAAGTATCATTTTTTGTGCATACGAATGAAATGAAGTTGCAAACACCAAAACTTTTTATTGCCATTTTGTTGTCTTATAATCACTCTATAAAACGATAATAATTATTTGAATAAAATCATTTACTTTGTTATTGAAGACTACAGTTAAAAAAAGATACCCACTTAGACCCGGTCTCCCCAATTGCAAAGAAACTATACATACAGGGCAGGGATGGGAAAG